TTCGAGATACTCCAGTCATTCATCTGTGCCTTTCCTATGTACAGAAGAGAGGGCATTTGGTTAGGGTCACACTATGCCTTCATAGGCAAGTGTTGCATTCGAGGTCATGCTAAAGTGCCAGATTCCTTGAAGTATGCCGGAAACCTTAGAGGTTGAGTACTGACTACGTTGACGTGAACTAACACTAGCCAGATGTATTTCCCTATACGCGAAAGTGATCAACAACCTTTTTAAGGTAGACAGACAGAAACATCTTTACCGTTGTTCAAGTGAACGCAATAGTTAGGCGATGGAATTTATTTATAACTGACTTGCAACCTTTTTAAGGTAGACAGACAGAAACATCTTTACCGTTGTTCAAGTGAACGCAATAGTTAGGCGATGAAATTTGTTTATAACTGACTTGCAACCTTTTTAAGGTAGACAGACAGAAACATCTTTACCGTTGTTCAAGTGAACGCAATAGTTAGGCGATGAAATTTGTTTATAACTGACTTGCAACCTTTTTAAGGTAGACAGACAGAAACATCTTTACCGTTGTTCAAGTGAACGCAATAGTTAGGCGATGGAATTTGTTTATAACTGACTTGCAACCTTTTTAAGGTAGACAGACAGAAACATCTTTACCGTTGTTCAAGTGAACGCAATAGTTAGGCGATGAAATTTGTTTATAACTGACTTGCAACCTTCTTCTGCTCAGGGATTCGCGCCGTGCGAGCGGTCCTACTATAAGGGGTAGCGTACAAGCGGTCGACATAAGCCTAAAGCCTCCATGCTGCGGCAAAGCGCCGTCCTAGAGGCAGGCAATGTTACCGTGCAAACGGCATGCAATACAGTTGTTCGAGCGAGCGGCCAACAATGCGTCCGTTTTATCGGTCGGCAATACATGTTGCCGTGCAAGCGGCCAACAGTGACCTCTATTTTCTGCTCACTATTTTTACACGTTGTGAGCGTAAACGGTACCTGTGTGAGACACGACGCAGTGTTTAGGCTGGCTAAGCGTTGACACATCGTGTTATCATCAGGGTCAAGCGTGGGGTGCGGCGCGCCACACCTGGGGGGTCGTATTGAGGAGTCAAAAGGGGAGGGGGTCGTAGTTGGGTAATCTGATAATAGTGATAACATGATATTCGTATCCTATCCATAATTAGCATGTTAAATAACCCCCTGTAGACAAAGTGTGAGCGATTTCTAAAGGTTCAAAATACTAGGCTACCTAAGTGAAATGGTCAAATTCCAACATTTAACTTTGTTTCAAAGGTGAATTACTTATCCGTTTTTGCACTCAAGACAAAGCACTACTCCTTCTTTGTCCACCTCAGGAATCCTGCTTCAGAAGACCTCCAAACTGTGGAATTAGAAGCCAACCAAAATCTCGTTTTTCCCATTTTTCGCTTTTGATCGCTGTGCTTTCACCAAATATTATTTGGAGCTAAGAAGACGAATCAGGCTCAAAATAGTCCTATGGAATCTAAAGGTTTAGGCTATCGATTCATATAAATAGTGTCCGCTAAAAATGTTTTTTTGATATAGTTAATGGCCTGCGGCACCCCCCCCCCCCTCAAAACCTGCGGCTGCCGGTTTTGAGGGGGGGGGGTGCCGCAGGCCATTAACTATATCAAAAAAACAATTTTAGCGGACAGTATTTATGTGAATCGATAGCATAGATCTCCTAGTTTTCAAAGGAGTAATTTTAGCCTAATTCGTTTTCTTTGCTCTGAGTAATAGTTGGTGAAAGCACAGCCATTAAAAGCGAAAAATGGGAAAAACGAGATTTTGGTTGGCTTCTAATTCCACAGTTTGGAGGTCTTCTGAAGCGGGATTCCTAAGGTGAACAAAAAAGGAGTAGTGCTTTGTCTTGAGTGCAAAAACGGATAGCTAATTCACCTTTGAAACAATGTTAAACATGTTGAAAAATGACCAGTTCACTTAGGTAGTCTAGTATGTTGAATCTTCAGAATCCGCTCACACTTTATCTACAAGGGTTATTCGACATGCTAATTATGGATATGTTGCCCATTATGTTTGACAGGGCCTTCAAGTAACGCTATCTTATGTGTATAGTTCAGGGGGGGGGGTCTTATTAAGACAGCAATCGGGGGGGGGGGGTCGTAACCAGCGATCGTGTGCCACACCCCTTGCTTGACCCTGGTTATCATTATTTTCTTTTACCAGCAAGGCTGGAATAAACCTGTGTGAGGCTACAGTTATCAAGAGTGATGGTGAGGGCTTCCCCATGAAAAGTTTGGCAATGCTGCAAGAACCGATCCGTGTTCCCAGAATGTGTAAAGGATTGATCTATCCAAGAAAAGGTCAAGATATCGCAAATACATTTACTCCAAGAGCAAGCGAGCGGCCGACTTTCTCCGCGCAAGCGGCGAACTTTAGAGACCGTGCGGACGTTCCATGTTAAGCGTGCCAACGGCCCTTGACGTACAATCGCACACACCGACGAGCGATTGTAAGATCATCGCTGGCTGCCCGCACAGCGCGAGTCCCTGAGTGAGGTATTCATCATCGTTGACTTGAGAGCTTTGGTTATTTTGGACTTCAACTCTTTTTCGAGAACACCTGAAGAGCATGGCGGAGTTTGCGACATACTCAGCTTTAAAGGCAGATCCATCCCAGATGCACATGGTTTTAAAAAAGGGCCCATGAGTATCCGATCTGTGTTGGTCCGATCCTCTGACGTGGCCCCTAAAAGGAGATACGGGCCTGTGACACGTATCACAATCCGCCCCTTCGTATCACAAACCACCTATGCGGACGAGTGCTCGCGCAGTGCGCGGTGTTTAGCCACTGCAGGAGCTCGATCGATATTGGACGCCATCGCCATCTAGCATTACGCAATTCTCCTTGTGCATTTTCTCTCTTCTCTTTTCGTCGTTTTTCTTCGTCATTTTTTTATTGAAATAGTTTCACTGATCGATGTGTGATCGATCAGAGACCGCTGATAAGGATTTGCTTTCCATGATATCGAGAATCTTTTGTTTTCTATGCGTGCTTACGCATATTCTGGAAGCGCTGTCTACTTATCTCGTCTATAAATTCTCTACTTGCTGCAATAAAGTAACCCTCAAGTCAAAGAGTAAGCGTTTTGGTTTGTTCTGCTTGTTTCTTTCAAGGTTTTTGAAGTAGATAATGTAATGGAATCCCGAAAATTTATAAGCTGATAAAGCAGATGGCTTGCGCGTACGACTCTATATTACAGTGTGTCATGTACTTTATATGTGTGACAAAATCTATTTTTGCCCTTCTGATCCTGAAATCTTGCTAGAGATTTCAGACGCCGTATAGACCCCAACAGGGCCCAACTGACATGCCGCGTCAAAAATGCGCGCCTGGTGTGTGCGCACCACACACTACCGTTGACAAAAAGAATTTCTTATTTCTCCCATCACTATGGAACTCGAATAAGTTACTTACACCTCGACAGTATAGTCCTAATCAGTTACCTGTCGAGGTCTACACAGTAGCGGATTTGCAGAAATGTGTTTCTGTTTCCACACGTGTTCCACCGGAGTTTTTTCAGTGACATGACACTCGTGGTCGTTGTATCTCCGGACCACTCTGCACCTCCTTTTCACCACCCTTTCCCCCCTCATCTCAGCAAAGCGCAAAATATTAGCGTGTAGGGTGGCAAGCTTCAAATAGAAGCGGTATATGGAGATTGGCCTGAAAACAGCTTGCTTTGTTTTTCTTGTTTGTATCTGGTGTAGATACTTACAGGTGTGAATCCTTCGAGCAACAAAAACGGTCGAAGGAATTCTTCTGTTCACAGAGGCTCGTTCCGTCCAAGGGACTTGCTATTCCGAGTCTCTTTGGAAACAGTCTTGCAAAACGATGTTCTTCAGAGCGTCGTGGGCCATGGATCCCATCGGTATCGTCTTCGTCCCGTTCACCAAGGGCATTCCGTGCGCACATTTTGTTGTATTTCCGGTCCTCCTGTCCTAAAATTTTCTCTCCAATGTCATCCCTCTATTCTTCTTCCTTCTCTCTGTTTCGTATTAGTGCGCTTTGAGCTCCTTTATCCATAACCGCAAATCCTCGCAGCTCTTCGTAGAGCAACCTTAGGCTGCGTTCATACTGATTCCCTTGTTCTGGAACTGTTCCCGCACAGTTCCCGCACAGTTCCCGCACAGTTCCCGCACAGTGCGAGAACTGTGCGGGAACAGTTCCAGAACAAGGGAATCAGTATGAACGCAGCCTTAAAGAGTTTAGGCTCATCATACTGAAACTGTCCAAAATATTTACCGTCCGTAAGTTCTTGTACAGATTGGGCCGAGGTGCCATGGATCAAACTGCCATTTTATGTCGGCACTGAACTCGGCATTGTACTGCCGAATTTCACTTCCGTACACTGTGCTACGATCAGTTGAGATCGAGTTGGTACTAATGTCTCTCGACCTCAACCAATCTAACATACGATAGAAACCTTCTTTTTCCATGGCGCCACTAATACCGCCTGAAATGCAAGTTCTTGCAAACACCAAGTTTGTTGTGTTCTCATATCCTTAACCTGTCTCTCTACGATTGAGAACTACAGTATGGATGCATAATTTGGTACGCAGATCCACAGCAAGAACTCTGCAGATTTCTGCTGAGTGGCCTCTGGAATCGAAGGCCCCGTCGATCGCAATATTCCAGCCCTCGCTTCCCCCTTCACCCTAACCCCCCCCCACCATTTATGTCTTACGAGTTTTCCTGATAGTCTGTATATCACCTGGTAAGCAGCTCGTATCGTCTGCATGACATGGTCGTGATGCCTGTCGTATACTGTATCTATGCATGGTCGAACATATCATAAAATGTCGATTTTGATGGTATACTTAGGCCCAATTCTGCTCTTTTAGGCATATGTCATTTTACATTTGTTCTCAAGCCGGTAGTAATGGCCGCGATGCCAGACATCACAATCCCGGCGTATCTTTTCTTTCTCGGGATTCTGTCCTGGCCCTCCCATCGCTCTTTCTTTGCATCTTTCGTGATGTAAGTGATAATCAATTGCTTCCTACTGCCGTAAGTCGGGCCATTCTTTCTTGTGAGTTGCATTCATAGCCGCAGCGGGCAATTTTCAAGAGTTCAAGCAGTTTTCTTCCTTTAACAAGAAAGTATTTCTCCATGAGGGGTGGGTCCGTTTCATCCAAAGTCTCTATCTCCTCATCGAGTGGTAAAGATTTGTCCGGTGAATAGAAAGAGCCAGTCTAAATTCATTCAAACGACGTACATTAGGTTAGAATAGATAGCTAGATTGGGCACGCTTTTCATCTTGTAGTGCCCAGACTCACTGTTGTTTTGGAGGAACTCGAATCTCCATGTCTTAGTGGAGGAGGCGTGCATGCGATGTAGTCCATAGGTTCGGCCGTGTCAGGAGGAGGTGGTTGCGCAGACATATCCTGAGATTTCATTGCTTTCTAAAATCACGGCGAAATATTTGAACCTGAAATTCCTCTGCTTCCTCTTGGTTCATTTGACGTCCCTCTGAAGGCAAACACCAGCCGCCAGCGCCGTAATATTTCTTCATATGTTCAAATTTTCGCTTACCTGGGGTTATTCAATACTCTGATTCCGAAAACCTACTTTTGAGAGTTTGGAAACGCCGAAAACGAGCGTTTTTCAATGCCCTTCCCTTTGGAATTAAACGAGTGCAACAAGGCTGGTGACGCCGAATCGTTGCAGGACCCAATGGTTATAGCATTGCGGCGGGCAGCCTCCAAGGGTGAGAAGGAAATTGCCAACTCGTCCGGATGCGTGTAAGAATGGCCTGCGTGTGTAAGTTTGAGAGCAATTTTTTTTGGCAAGGAAGGCATGTTGTGCAACTGGTATTGCACTGTTTTCATAATTGGGCAATAAGGAGTCTACTGCGTTAAAAATTTTTGAGTTGTTGAGTTTTGCCGATCCACTGCCTTCAAGAAACCGAACGTCGTTTCTTTTACCGTATTTCCGAATTCGCGATGCGCTCTGCAAACGTTGCGCCTCGTCTGCTGGCGTGTAGAGCCGGGCATCCATGTGATTCCAGTCGCGACGCGGTTTTGGCACTAATTCGCTTGGAACTCATCGACTCCAATATACAGAAAGAAAAAACATCATCTACAGAAAAGTTATACATACCAGACATTCATAGTATGCGAATATTAACTTGAAGGCAACTGACAGACTAAATTGTGTAAAGATTTCGCGCTTTGTATGCCGATGGCCTATCGGCACACAGGCGCGATCAGTAGCGATTTCAGGCATTCCGCCAGCTTAGTTTTGCTGACGCTAGCGGAATGCTGACGAGACAGAATGTATCGCGTCGCGTACACGTCTCTCTGACAATGGCCTTCGCTGGCAAAATCCCAGACCAATACCTCCGCAAACACGGCGCAATGCCGCGGAGCGTAACGGCAACGACTACAACTCTATGAAGGCCATGATCACAAATACCTTTTATCTTTCAAAAATTGCATGCAATCTGATTTGTAAATAAATCTGGAGTGTAAACAAAATTCAACGAACGGTTCGAGATTTGAATCCATAACTTCAGGTAAGTGCATTGGTACCACTACAGGAAGAACCCGACTCAAAGAACTCTGAGCTAAGAAAGCTCAGCCTCCATGCTGAACGCTCTCCTCACTGATTCGCTCGATTAGCTGAAAAGTGGGTTCACAGCACAGCCAGGGTACAATCGATTATAGTGACGTAAACGGAGCCACCAATCAAAGCCCGCCGCCGCCCCTTAGCCTCCCCCCCCCCCCGCCTCAGGGGTATACAAGGCGGGGGCACATCATACAAACATCACTTGATATGGATTTGAAGCAGCTCAAAATAAAAATGTCCGACTTGTTTACATGTGTGGTCATGTATGAGGACAACTTCCTGGTAGATGAGAATGAACTGACGAACGTACGTGAAGCTTAGCCAAAAAACGACGATTCGGGCCTAGGCGTCCAGCAAACCTGGAGTCTACATCGTTACCTCCTAAGAGGAAGTAAGTAAATGTTTTAGCGATGACAGTGATGATGTTTGCATTTCAGATACACTACCCTACAGAAGCCCCTCGCGCCCGTCAAGCGAAATAAGTTGGAAACACCGCCAGCATGCTCTTCAAGCGTTCGCTAAAGGACATAGACTCCAAAATCGCCCTGTCAAGTTAGTACTGATGACCGCCGATGAGAATGAAAATACGTCGAATGTAGACGAAATTTTCGCTTGACTAACTGATGTTGCGTTCTTACATGAGAAAGGCATCAATTTTTTGCTTTGTTTCTCTAGTTCAATAAGGGTTTCCAAGAGTTTCGCATATATACACGGCATTTACACGGAATTATGACATCGTAATTAACACGGCTTTAAAGACTGAATTTAAACTCTCATTACGGGATCCATTTATCTGAAGTCATGCACTGACGACTTATCCGATTTTTCACAATGTTTTCAGAAGGCTGACGGTCGGCTAATGGCAGAGCCATGATCAAAAAGATACAGCTTATCTTGCACACATTATCCACTTCCACAAAAATGGCAAGTCTGCGAAAGCAGAAAGAATTAGCAAAACCTGCTAACCTTGAAAATAGGACGCTTTTTCAGCGTTCATAAGGCCAAGGCGACCGCCCATCACAAATAAGGGAGTCTGCGCACGTTCTTTCGCTTGTCATTTGTTGGAGCTTTTGGAGTGCGCTCTGAAAAGCCTTGCGTCGCATTTACGTTTAGAGCCGGGCATCCTTGCGCGATTCCAGTGGCAACGCGGTTTGACATATTCCACTTGCTTAAAACTCATGGTCTTTATCCAGAGAGTAGAAAACTTCAGTTCAGAAAAGTTAGACATCAGGCACTTATAATATGGAGATGCTGGATTTGAAGGCAGGTGACGGATTGCCAAATCGCGTGGCGATTGAAATCAGAGATATGCTCACGACTTATCGGTCAGCGCCTTAAGGGTGCTAAGTTTGCGGATGCCAGCAAAGCTGACAGAAGAGATTGTCTTGCTTCGCGTATGCGTCTCTCTGCAATGAACACTCCGCTGGCAAAACGCCAAACCGATACTACGCAAACATAGCGCGGAGCAAATGAGTATCCTATCAAAAAGTCGATAAAACAGGTATGAACCGACCAAAAATAAAATCAACATACTGCAATCTTTTCAGGCGGCGAATCATCGACTATAACTCAGTGAGCATGATCAATAAACACAGCTAATCTCGCAAACAGTACTTTTTGGCAAAAGTGGGAAGTCTGCCAATGCAGACAGTACTAACGAAGGCATCGTTTTACTTTTTTCTGCGCTCATATGTCCGAAGCGGCCAACGATCATGATGCTCGAGTAATATGTGCACATCATTTCTCTTACCGTATGTTGAAATTCGAGACGCTCTGCAAGGCGTTGCGCCGCGTTTGCGGCATATAAGCGGGGCATCCTCACGCGATTCCAGTCTCGACCAATTTGGCACTATTCCACTTGCTTAGAACTCATTTTTTTTAGAAAATTAGAGAACTTTATGAATTCAAGTTGCACACAACAAATCTTTACCGTATGCGAATTCGATTTGAAGACTACTTGCAGATTGCCAAATTTCGTGGCGACCGAAATCGCGCGAAAGGTGTGCCCGAGGCCTATAGGTTTGGAGCGCTATAATTACAGGCCAGGCACTGTGCCAGCAGAGCAGCAGATGGGACAGTTACAATGTTTCGCGTCGCGTACGCGTCTCTCTGACAATGACTACTCCGCTGATAAAATGATGAGCGCCAGACCATCACGTCCTCAAACATGGCGCCATGCCTTGCGAACCGTATGAGTGAACAAGAAGTTGAAGAAATGAAAAAGTAAACTGGTCAACATGATCCGACAAACCACAATCTTTTTATGCATCAACTATAACTTTATCAAACAGACACTTCGCACACAAAACCTTTTTTTCTAAATCGCACACAATTTGAACCGCGAACGAAATTCAACGAACGGGTTCATACATAAGTGCATAGATCTAGGTAAGTGCGGTTGATTTCCTTATTTAGATCCTTCCTGATTTCATTTCAGGAAGGATCTAAATCAAAGTACTCTGAACTAAAAAGTCCCACCTGACCTTCGGCTGAACGCTCTCCTCATTGAATTACCCGATGAGCTAAAAAGTGGGTTAGCAGCACAGTTGGGGTACAATCGATTATGGTGACCTAAACGTAAGTAAGCGAATGCATTTACTGACGCTAATGGTAAAGTTCGCATTCCAGGTTCACTCCTCCGCAAAAGCCAGTCGCTCTCGTAAAGGTGACTGTGTCGCAGACCTCACCAGCGACTTTTTCACGCACTCATAAGGACCTGGAAATTAAAATTGCCGGAGCTGTCAAGACGGTATTGATGAGCACCAAAGAAGAAGAGATCAAGTTGAAAGAGGAGAATGACTATTTTTTGCTTAACACTCATGCTGCAATTGTTCGCTTGAACAAAGTTATAAAGGCGTCAATTCTTTGCGTCTTTGCGTTTTTTCACCTCAATAAAGGTTGTTGATAGTTTGGTGTGTAGAGAGGTACAATACAGAGCGTTGATAGTTCACGACATCGTTCAATGTACACTAACCAAATGTATCTTCAACGTACCTCTAACCCTAAGCCGCATGCATTGACATCCCTGCGGCAAGAAGACGACGTTTGTCCGCGGCTCATTCATCATTAGGGACCCAGCTTCCCTCGCCGCAGGCAGGTTCATGCATACGGGCTTAAATATACTATCCTAGCAATAGGTTTAGCCTTACCTGATATTACCTCGACTGACGGCTTACCCGTTATCTTCACATTCTTCGCCAAATATTATTGACTACAACGTTATCATGCCCGATCACGAACACGAATTGCCTTGCTAACAGTACTCTTTTTGCATCAAAAATGGCAGTCTACGAATGCGGAAAACACCAACAGAGCTGACAACCTTGAAAAAACGACGCCTTTTGCTCCACGGCGCCAAGGTACCGTCGAGACGCTAAGGTTTGTGTGCATGTTTATTTTTTCTTACCCATGTCGGAATTCGGAATGCGTTTTGGTATTGAAGCGGAGGGCAGACTGAACATTGGAGTTGTATGCCGCGTATGCGTCTTTCTGGCAAGGGCGACTTCGCTGGCGAAACGCCGGACTGGTACGTCTGCAGGCATGTCGCCGCAACGTGCGGAGATTTCCTGAGCGCAAACACGACTCTCAGGATGCGCACGTTTGTTTTCCTTTCCATACGATTCAGAGGTCCGCTCGCATTTGGAGAGACGGTGGGCAAATCCACAACCCAGCTCATAAGGCCGCGCGCGATTGGCAATTACCTCTATTCTATCAAAACGTGGACTGTTCGAGGCGTATTGCAGAGGACACAAAACGCACTCAATCTCAAGACTAATGAGGAGAGAAGGTTTCCCAAAATGACCTTTCCAAGTTATGTCTACCGTTTTGTAGACTGTGTAACGCTTTCCGAATTCTATCCTTTGTATCTGCGGAAAGTGCCTAGATGTGGGATTATCCGAGGCTTCATACTGCTCGTGTCTCATGAAAACGCTGTGGCGAAATTCCACAGTTGTCTATAACAGAACAGGATGGTACGGTAAACATCGCAAAAGATGCACGCGTTGCTATTGAATAACTTTTATGATTGACCTGTGGCACGGGCAAATGCGTTGTACTGCTGCGAAACGTGGTGGTCTGTTGCACTTGTAGAAAGAAAGCAGCGGCAGTACTTTCACTACCTCTCGATCCGCACCTTATTTTCCTTACTGCAAAAAAATCCTGAATTATGTTAATTGTTACCAGACTACAAGGCAGCCTCCGCTCAGTGTCTTGGTAAATAAATTTTGAACAAAATTGAAACTGATTTACTGGCCCGATTTCAAACAAAATTTGCATTATCTTAGCAAGTCTCCAGCAGAGGCTCTTCGATAAAAATGGCATTCAATATATCTAAATTCATTTTCAGTAAAAATAATAAGGCGCAAATTAAAAGAAGTGCTGGAAAACTTACTGCTGCTATTGCTCTAAGTGTAGGAAAACTACGTTTCGCAGCAGTACGACGCATTTGCCCATGCTCATAGGTTAATCCCCGCCGTTCTTCAATAGCATCGCTGCATGCTTTGCATTCATTGGAAATGCCGATTAAATCCGTTACAAACTCCCGGAACAGTAGTGATCCGGGGCTGGTCGAAAATTTGTTAGAAGCATATCCAATAGGCTTGATGAAATGATAAGGATCTAATGGCCCAATCAGTCAAAACAACATGTTCTTGCATCTTTTTCTCGAGAAAAACATAGCGTTCAAGAGGGTCCTATAGTGTGGAAGAATGGACATGCTCATAAGTGCTGAACAACAAGTGTTCGAAATACTGATTGTGATCATTTTAATTGAAATCATGTGTGATCACAGTGATACTGACGTAGTGCACCATCTCCTCTAGGAATTCGGAAATATTTTGAGGAAGGGAAGGGGGACCAAAGTTCAAAAGAGAGAAGATTTACACACTTGGCCCAAAGAAATCCAACCAAACAACAACTGTCTGCACCAAGTATTCTATATCATGTAATGAAAGCATGTTACTTATTTCCATTCTGTAATGGGGGTACTGTACAAGACGATCTAAAAAATCCCACAAACATAGCATGTCCTTGCTCATGGTGTAAGGAGAGGGAATTGACTGAAAATGAGAAATGGAGCTTATCCGTCTCTATACCAGGAATCAAATCACACACGATTTTCACATGATTATCAAAAGATATTTGGTACCGTCTTTGCTTCGCGCTCCCGTCGAAGTCTACTTCCGCCGAGAATGTCTTCGTTGTCTTCTATCTCGGTTAGATGTCGATCTTTTCTGGTCATGAAACTCTAAAAAACTGTCCGTAAAGTGGGTTATGACCAATGAGCGCAAGAGCGGCTCTCGCTCGTTTTGCCTGCTTCGTTTTTCGCTTGATCATACTGTGGTCTCAAAATTCTCCTGCTAATTTTATTAGAAGATTCTGTTCGCATTCATAGCTGTAAGGGTGTGTCCGCACTTTTTCTTATTCACGATATCTCTGTCTGGAAATGGCGATGAAAGTTTGGTTGGACTTGGTTGAATTCGATTTTCAAAACATTATTCTTAATCATGGGCCTGGACAGTGTTCAACCTAGTATATCTGATGTGGGTATATGTAGCTTTGCTCGAGGGTAAATAACTTGAAGATAATGTTTTATTGCTTGAGCTGCCTTATAAAATCCAATTTTAGGAGAATTCTTCAAGTCTTTATAAGTCCCATCTCAACCTTTGACATGCAGTCAAAGTAGTCGATGTTTTAGGAAGTACTTTTTGGAAGATATGCATGTCTTTTGCGCACAAGATAAATAAGCATTTCCATATAAGGCAGCATCAAGAGGAAGACGCTCAACGAGAGCTGCAAAATTTGCCCGATAATCCTACATGGCACGGTCTAATTTTTATCAAGCACCGTAAATTCGTCGCCATGCTTATCCCATTTGTTCTTATGCAGGTTGCAAGTTTGTGCAAATCCACACTGTGTCAACTGATATATTGATTTTCTAGTCATTTTGATGGATGAATGCGATTCGATTGAATTTCTTCAGATAGTACACGGATTATTGGCATATGCCTGTCATTATGCTTTTAAAGGCAGTGTCCCGGCAGATTCGCGCTCTGGGCTATATAGGTGTTGCGGGGTTCCTGGTCACCCCACTGACCTCCACGCGCAGTCCGGCTGGTTGATGTTTTCTCTGGGCCGAGAAAATGGCCCTTGAACCGGCGCGCGCAACCCCAATTGGCGCTCGCAACCCCAATTGGCGCGCGCTCGGAAGGCTTCCTTGTCTGTTCGGCGCGGGACCTCAGACCGCTCTCCTCCATTGTGCATGCTATCCGAAGTAAAAATTACAGGCGGCAGGGTCTTCGTCGGACCTCTCAACTTTCCATAAAAAATCTCGTCCGAGCTGCTTTTTTTGGAACTGGGCAAACGCCCCAAGATCGGCCTTTTCAGCTCGTTCAAAGCTCAGATTCGGGTTCTACGTGGCGAAAAGGCCTAAATCATGCAGAAAGGTGGAAGTGTGAAATCTGCCGGGACTCTGCCTTCAAGGTCGCCTTGTAGGAAGTAGGCCTAATCAATACATCGACTGCGTTCCAAACAATACGTATCTTTTGTAGGTAAGACATCAGAAGATAGTAGGGCGGTTGCATTTCTTGTCATGGCGCTAGCACTTTATATTGCTCCTAGCATAGCCAGGGATTTTCGTTGAGATACAGCCATGCGGTAAAATTTGAATGTTTCTGAATCATTTTATTGATTTTATCGATTTTTTAGGTATGACTTCGACGCTCATGTGCGTTTGGTACATGAAAGTAAAGACTGAAAAACGTGCCGTGAAAAAAGTGCTAAAAACACTTGGCGCGATTCCAGTTTTGAACATTGGACTACATTTAGTCACTGCCATATTTCTGGATTTTTGAGCCTGGGTCCTTTATTTGAATCGCAGATTAACCCCACCCTCCCCCTTCTCAATGAACCACAGAAGGGAATGATTTTGCTTATCTTTTTCTGTATCTTTTTCTGTTCTGAAAAAATCTGAATTACTCCCTAATTTAAGAATGTTGCCAGCTTTGTCTACATTCTGGAAGCTGTTGCAGTTATCGGTTTCCTTTGTGCAAAACCTGCTTGGTAGCTAATTGCTGTTGGAGGTAAATTAGGACTTTCAAATTACTGCTTTTAAAACAAACATATTAACTTTTCAGCATGCGTCATTTTCAGTTTGTTCATCTCCAAATCTGGTGAATATATTCAAAAAACTTCGAAGAAAAGAAGAAACATCAACGAGAAGTTGGAAGTGTTTGATGCTTATATTATTATTACCATGAACTTTTATGCTACCTTCACGTTTTAGGATGGTCTTTGTCTAAATAACTTGCTCCACAATTTGCCACCTATCGGAAGCTTGACCCACAAATAAGATTCTATACGGTGAATACTGATCATACAAGATCATCAGTAAACCAACAATACAAGACGTTGAAGGTCTGCATCCGACCCTTTACGCGGACATTTGTTCACACGATCCAGTCATGTGACTGAATCATGTGGACAAATAGAAACAAATGAATCCAGCTTCACTTTGAATCTGAGCAAAAGTTGTCTACTGCATATGGGTAACTGCATAGCCGGAACCTACTAAGTGGATGGGGTTCAACGTTTGTACGAAGCACTTGTTCGACCAGCACTTGAATATTGTTCCCAGGTCTGGGATCCTACACGTAAAAAAGAAATTGCAAACCTTGAACAGGTGCAAAAAACTTTCACTCGTCTCTTGTGTATTCGCCTCTCTCCTAACAACAGGCCTCCGAGTTATGAAGCTCCATTGAAGAAGTTTAATTTACGAAGCCTTATTTGTCGTCGTAA